CTATAATTGGACATCGTGGCCTTATCCCCAGATTTAAAGATCGGTGTCACCGAGGCCACCTTCCAGGATGATGGAACTTCACTCGTGCTGATAGATTGATTCAATAGCATAGTAATTGGTTTTATTAGACCATCGATATGTGTCTTTATGAAGTTGGTGTCGAAATCATCTGCATCCCTAGCCTTAGAACCTCTTAACCCTGAGATTATATTGTTTTACCTCAACCTCTGTGATTTCCTCCAGGTCAAAAACGGGGTGTGTATCCACAGTCGGGCTAGGTGAGACCTCAGATGGCGGGAAGAGCTTTGTAATGTCCAGAGCACTAGTTAAGAAATACTCATTTAGAAAGTTGGCCAATACAGCAGGGTCGTTTATCAGGGCATCATTGATTTTTTATTCTAGAACATTAAAAATCAATGATGCCCTGATAAAAGACCCTGCTGTATTCTTCTTCTTTTAAAGGTTTTAGTATAATTTACAGGAATTAGTTTCGAAAAGTCCACTCACAAAGAAATTCCCATAAATAATACTGATAACATGATCTGAGCCTTGAATTATTATTTGGAAATTGTGTGTAAATAAATCTGTACTTAAAGAGTACACCTTGTCTTAGCCACGCTCTAAGTTGCAACCACACTGCCCTCTGGCCCTTTGAAGATAATACAGCATGCATGCATATATAACATGATTATCCATACTGCACTGGGACCATACTATGAGATAGCAGCAGCATTTAATTCAAAAACGTTTGAATTAATTAACGTATGAATGCCTTTTTTATGTTTTAAATGTGAAGTTTAGAAAGAATAAAATGCTCATTTAAAAACAAACTCATTTAGATAATTACTTTTTCCACTCACTTGAGTCATTGATAAAGCGCTATAATAAATATAAGGATTATTATTATTATATTATTACTTGCTAATAATTACGGCCCTGAGAAGCAAGTGAGAAAGAAACCTGTATCTCTTCTCTTTTTACATTTGTTGTTGTAACATGCATTTCGGCCAACAAGTCCTCCAACTCATACGACCAAATGGGTCGATTGTTCAAGCCCTTATTACGACCAAATATGTTGTTTGTTCAAGTTTGTTATAATTACGTTTTAAAGTTGTCGGCCTCTAGTGCTCCCGTTGAATGCAAACGTTACAGAGGGTCGTTTATTCACAAATAACCCTCTGTAAAATCCTAAATTGTTTGTCCATTAAAACGCTTTTTGATTAGATTTCTAGCGAGAAGTATATATTGTACTTTTAGAATCCACGTCCAGTCGATATGTAGGATCTATAGTTTGATAGATATTACGAAGAGGATTTGAGGTTTCGCCAGGAGAACGTGTATATGCGGCAAGCTTCCATGTAAAGTTACGGGTTAAAAACAGTATTTCCGGTCTCGAGGTTTTCATAATAAAACCAATGATCAAATGATTTAACAGTGATATCTGCAGTACTCATCCACTAAAAAACATCAGTTTATCCTAGTTAATTATACGACATTAATTGGTCTAAATTGTGTACAATGCTTTTGTGTTTTTCCCATAGGTTTTTCTCTTTCGATTCTGAGACACATTTATTTTTTCAGAGGTTTTGATCACGCCGCAATGCACGTCGGGATATGGTGTTTATGTGATATGAAATCGGAAAACATTTTTTTTTTTTTTTTAAATAATACTTTATTCCGAGTGTTCTTGCTTTTCTCTTTGGAAGTCATCACATAACGGCATTGTAATACACGGTTCGGCTTCATTAAATATTACATATCTGCCGTAGATATTTATTTATAGAGCCCTGATGAGAAGACTTCTGGACAAACTGGAAGAGATGCCGCCAAAACTGAATACGTGACGTGGACCATACATATATCAACAATTAAACAACATCTGCATTTCTTTTCACACAATACGTCACCTTGCAGTATCAACACTAATTCGGCTGACTTTTATATTTATTCCAATTAGTAGATAGTCTGTATTTACACCATAACGGTGCACAGCTGATAGAAATTGACTTTTTTGTAGTTTTTAAAGATATTACTGATTTTCTGAACTACCTTTCCAACTCCTCATGCAGTTGACTGTTACAGGTCTATACAGGTTCATAATACAATGCATACGCTTCAAATCGAGAGACTGAAACTGTATTTTCTTTTACCGTTCTGTTTTAATTTCACAATAAAGTGAATAGTCATATTATGTTTGATATTATTATGTTTTATTAACTACTAGACCACTGTTTTTTAAAACCGCACCGCCTAGTGGTTAAAGCACGTTATTGAATTTTGTTGTTGAATAAGTTATATTTGATGAAAACATTTAAATATTAAGAGTAGCCTACATACAAAATAGGGGTCAATGATAGAAATATAGAATAGAAAATATCAAGAAGATACTGTAGTGATCTCTACAATAAAACAGTTTAGTGCAGGACGTCCAAAGATATTAACAGGAGGATATATATAAATAGACAAACTTATAAGGCTGAATTTTAATCAGGTGTAACTCAAGTCTGATTTAGGGGTTGTTTATATTTCACATCATTAATCAGAATCTGCAAAGTAACAAAAATAAATGTAGTAGAGTAAAAATACCAGGTTAACCTCTGAATTGTAGTGGAGTAGAACAAAGTAGTACATGCTGCTGTAACAAAAACATTTCCCAACTTGGGATCAATAAAGTATCTTATCTTATCTTATCTTAAGATGATCGATGGCTTCTGCCATATTTGCTAAATGTGCATCTGAACCTTGACAAGTGCATGTTTCAGGCTTATCAATTAACAGCAGGAGGGGTCACAGACATAAGACCAGCTGTTAAATAAAGCTCTTCTGACCTTAGCTGTCATGTGGGTATATTAATGCTGCCCATTATGGACACAAGCCATTTTCACCCATGTATTAATTATATGTTTTAAATTTGATAACACCAATGTGTTTCGTATTCTTTCACACACACATACGGGTTTTGGGCCGAGGGCGACACCGTACTTCCGGTATCAACCATTTCACACGAGGTGCATACAGAATATCATAGTCTATTGCCTTAATCAATATAGTCAACTCTAAAATACCACATATATGCATTGGCATGATAATATTATTGTGACAAGTGGGGTATTCACCTGGTGTTTCCAGAAGATAGACGTAGATGCCAAAATCGACCGAAGGCCACTTTTGAGGGTCGTAATTCCATACATTGTACATCCAACAACCCACACAGCTCTAGTTTACGCTGGTAACGACCTAGAGCACACCCCTCAAGTCCAGAGATGTAATCCGAAGACATGCAGCGATTTCTTCGGTCGTTAATTCAGAAAAAAAAACTAGTGCGCTCTGCCTGGCTACATTAGCTAGCTGTTTATATTAGCATCGCCAGGATTTTTGCACCTCCAGAAAAATGGCGTCTTTATAAAAAAATATATGGCGCGCGTTGCATTGTGGGTAGCTGTGACGTCACTGTGTGTGAAAGAATCCCCTAAACCTCCAGGGATGTATACAGTTTAATACTGGCAACTTCTAATTGTGGGAAATACGAAAACGTCTTTTAAAACTACAATTCCCAGTAGAGACGGTACCCGTCCAAGCTGGACCCGTCCAAGTCCAGTTTTGGATAGTCTGGCGTGGTTCCATTCCATTTCAGAGCTGTTTGACACTCGTTGTAACCTTGTCGCACTGCCACTCCAACATCCAATCACAGAGCTTGAGGGCTAATCACGGGGTTTGTAAAGCAAGGCGGATGTTGTAGTCCCAAACGATAGCTGGGGATTCTGGGTAGTGTAGTGTCTTCGGAAACTCTCTAGTGTCTAAACTCCGAAAAAACCATTTGTTTCTCCGAATCGAAGGTTAAAAACACAAAAGCATTGTACACAATTTAAACCAATCAATATTGTGTAATTAACAAGGATAAACTGATGTTTTTTAGTGGATGAGTAATGGAGATATCACTGTGTAATCATTTGACAGTGAGGGGAATACTTCCGGTTTTATTATAAAAACTTTGAGACCGGAAATACTGTTTTCACCCACGCTAACTTTACATGGAAGCTGCCCCATATACACGTTCTCCTGGCGAGACCTCAAATCATCTTCGTATATCTATCAAACTGTAGATCCTACACATCCACTGGACGTAGATTATAAAAGTACAATATACACTTCTCGCTAGAAATCTAATAAAAAAGCATTTTAATGGCCAAACTATTCCACAATTTAGGATTTTCCAGAGAGGGTTATTTGTGAATAAACGACCCTCCGGAGCGTTTGCAATCGACAGGAGCATGTTGTTTGTTACACGACCACTAGAGGTGCTACACTTTAAAACGAGACTCTGGGTCGTATTTAGCTGCTGAACAATCGACCTATATGGTCGTTTTTTGTAGGAGGACAGGCTGATTTCGGCCACAAGAGGCTGAGCTACCCCATTTTCATAGGACTAAAAACATTAGTGTTCTCTTTCAAGTGAGATTTAATTTCTCCAATCACTTTAAAAAACAAAGTACATCAAGGATTTAGCTTGAGTCAGCAAGTTATATTGTCAAGTTATGTATAGAGCAAAACAAGTATCCCTTTAAAATTGTCCAATCAGCAATAATTTAATATCATAGAGAACAGGTACAAATTGTCTAAAGGGTTTGACCTGTCAGTAGCTTAGGTATCTGTCTTGCCATAACTTTTAATTTTAACCTGACAACACGTGTCATATTTGTCTTACGGCTGTGCTTTAATCATGAACACAGGAGAGGAAACCATAACAATATGTGGATGACCATTTATTTCCTCTCGAGGCTTCCCTAAATGTAGCATCTGTGCATGAGGCGCTTGATGGTAGCTTATGTCTCTAGCACCTTTTGCATGCCACAAACTTCAGTTGGAGCCGGGAACACCAGCGCGCGACACTGCGCCCCGAGGACCCACTCTTGCGTCTCTGCTCCATACTTAAGGATAGATGGATCTGACACCCGAACGCATCGACAGCGGCACATTTTGACCTTTCTCCATCACGAAGTCGGATCATTTATTCTCTGTTTTACTTCTATTATTTTTGTAGAAGCAATGGATATCTACAGCTCAACGCTCTCACCGGCGCTGGACATCTTCACAGGATGCTATCTGCTGGTTATAGGTAATTAAAAGACCTACTTAAGCTTGAATGAATGATTTAATACGATTATACAGCTCTCAAGGGCTCTGCATCCCTGCTATGGCTCAGTTAAGTGTGAGTGAAAAATACTGTTGTACTGGATTAATTTCTTCCACAGGATTTGGAGACTTCAAAAACAGAATAGCAAAGCACTAAATTCACTTTTCCGTAATCCATTTTACGCACATTTGACTCTGAAGGCTGGTTCTCCTATTTTTGTTTTTTCTCACTCATCTAAAACGTATATACGACACTTAGACACAGTTATATGTCAAGTGTTTTAAAAGTGACATAAGAGCCACTGTGTTGCTTAAATCTAATTAATGTATGCTCTCTCTTCATCGTGCTGTGTCTGCACACAACAGGTTCCCCAACAATGGTACCCGTTCAATTATAAACCCTACTCTTCAATTATGTATTTTGGTTAGACATATGGTGGTGATGATTAAGGTTAGAGTATACCTCCAGATAAAACCTGTAAGTCCTGCAATGTCCTTCAAAGTGACAAAAAGAGTCCGTTGTGTAATAGGGCAGTCCTTAACCTCAAAGGATACAGAACCTTTCAAATGGTGTCGGGCAGGATCTATATATAGTGCTATGAGTTAATTAGTGAAATTGAAAGGTACATTAAAGCCATTTACCTTGACTATAAAGAAGACAAATTGGTGGCAGCCCATTCACAGCAGGGGGTTTCAGCATGCTGTGAGATATTTTAACTTAATCCTGCAGGATATGCTCCTATTTTAAATTCATTTCCATTTTTATATATACGACAGCAAAGCCAGCCTTGTCTGTCTTTATGATAAGTCAGTAAATCTACTGTAAAACCAGAGGAAGATAAACAGATTTACAGAGTGTGATGAAAGATGGATGATAATCGCTTTGGACAAACACACAGTGCAGTGTATATTGGCCAAAAAGCAAACAGAAGGCTGACCCTGCAGTGAATGGGGCACTGCAATAAAATCTTCTGCACTGTGAAGTGATTTGTTCCCTGTAATGCACAGCGTTGACATTCACATCTGCAGTTCAGCTCCTGTCATATAACAATATGATATAAATATTTGTAATATGACAGTGAACTTAACACCCTTGCCATTTTGAAGTTGAACATATTTTATTATGTTGTAAGAAATATCCTGCTGGGTTTTATTGCTGTGTAAATGACATTATGCGGTGGTTACGATTCACAGAGGCCTGCATCACATTGGTTATGTCACACTTAGCGCTTTGCAAATAACTGTCTTTCTAGTATGATTATCACATTTCTCATGAAAGGAAATCGTTTTTTTATAGAATTATTGGCTTAATAGGTTGCTGTAAATTATATAGTTTATTTTCAGCAAGGGACTCTAGATGACGTACATATATCATACATAATACATTGTGGAATTTGCCCTGGGATAATGGGTACTTATGTTGAGACATGTGTAATCATTTGTTTCTTGTTGTGATGAGTTCTCTTCAAGCACTCTTGGTGTGGCAGGTGGGGGTAAGGGTAAGATGGGGTTATAATAACAATAATACTTTTTTTTATAGAGCGCTTTTCATAGTATTCAAAGACACTTACAAGTTGAAATGATCATATGAAACCAGACACTAAAAAATATACAACACCCATCGTTAATTAACCACCTCCAAAGGTTAGTCAGGCATTCAAATATGGACGGATGTGTGTTGTTTCTGGTACATAAATGACATATTCTGTCGCCTTTCAACACCGTGCTACCAACACAGGATGAATGGCTAACACCGATGTCTTTCATTAGCATGGAATTGGAGCGGTATGTTAGCCTGCCACGACTGCTCCTCTTTGGGTCATTAGGAAGTGGGAAGCCTCTTCTCAGATGCTTCGCACAAATTGCACAGAAGTCTGGCACTATGATGAAACTAATAGTCACATCACAGGCACTGAATGTAGCAGCCAGTGTACATACCAATTATCTTCAACACTTGCTTTGAAATAAAAAAATGGACTGTACACAAATAACTGTCACTTGTTATGTTAATGTTTTCTTGGAATTATCCACTTGACTACACTTTACTGAAGTGTCCTCTTCATGAAGCAAAGAGCACCTTTTTGTTCTTATTAAAAAAACAATATTTGTTAAGCTGGAATAAAATATACATTATATTCTTCTAACAGATATATTGAATGAGAAACAAATACAAGACGCTTCCCTGCTACACACACAATTTGGACTAACCCGCTTTGGCCGAAGGAAAAATAACACCCCCTACCCTTTTCTGAGCCCTTTCTACTCTCATCATTTTCATACAGACCCTCAGGTTAAATATTTTACAGTGTTTACATCCCTGACTTACTTAAAGCAAAATAATGAGTCCCAGTGTGAAAAATTCCTGTCTGCCCATCCTTATTTCCTAAAATGTAGTCCCATTCAATGAAACAGCATTTTAAAAATACAAAAGTTAGTGTGTAGAGGAAATTGGAGATGATGGATTTGCCAAACAAACACAGGCCTTTAACCCAGGGGGCCACTGATTGAATCCTGTGAGGAACCAAAAGTAAACGTTTTCTTGATTTGATGTATGTTCGTAACTAGATTAATGTTACACACATAGTCAATTTAATTAAACAAACCCTTGATCTTTTCACTGAACCTTACCAAGTTGTTTTGTTTTGTTTGACGTACTTAAAACGCAGACCATAATCTGGGAGCAAAAGGTTTCCTCCCTGATCATGATTGAGAATGCACTTTCGTTATGGGAAGAAGACAGGGTTGGCCTGCCTTAGGGTGGATATTTGATTCATGTTAAGACATGGCTGGCGGCTACTCAGAGTCAATAGATACATAATTAATGACTAAATACATCAATAAATATGTTTGACTATAGCCCACTGGTGCTAATTTCGGGCCATGACACTGAAGGAGATGGGGGTTATAGGGATCTTTTGGCAATGTGTTTGAATAATGCATCACGTCTATTTTGTCATTAAGATACATACACGTTCACACTTATCTTGGGGTAACTAGCTCACATAGACGCATATTGCCCTCCTAATGTGGCCATTATACACGGCTGGAGTGTTCAGTAACAAACAAAAGCTGCAAAATGAATCTGTCAACAAAGTGTTTGCAACAAGATACTTATTTTTGGCCATATAATAGTTGTTTTAAAACATATTGATTGGTATTGATTCATTTTGAATGTCAAAGAAAGATGTTGTTGCTTTTGGCTCACGGCAGGTTCCCAGGTGTATTCCTTTTTCTTCTTTGTATTCACTCTTTACCCTCCCCCACAGCTCCCTTCACTCACATGTAATCCCTTTTCAGTAAATGTTGTACCATTAGTCCATTATTGAGCCCTAAGGATTATAATGAAGACAGCACCCTACACTGACTCTTTGATCTTTTAAAAAAATATAAAAATAAGTATTCCTGCAAGCAGATGACCATTCCTAAAAATCTCACATTATTGTACACTCTCTGCCCTCTGTAAACATTCATGATTATGCTTAAAGTTGGATAATATATTCATTAAATTACTTCTGCTTTCTGATTCTGTGGGTGGCCGGCCTCCCGCTGTCACAAATGCTTAATGTTTGTTCAAATGTTCTGCGAACCTAAAACTATGTGGTAGGAAGTAAAAATGCATAGCCTTAACGGAGGATCGGTGGTTAATGCAACATTTTAAAGGAAGCGTCACAGATTTGGAATTTCAAAACATTCTTCATCTCTATCGCTGCATGTAATGGAGGATGTTCAAATTCTGTATCCCTCTTCTCCCCAGTGAACTGTGAAAGACACTTTCCTTGTAAACCTTAAGCAGTGAGGTGTCACCATTGATTATTTTGTGTTTTTGTAAGTGGTTTCGAGCAATTGGCCAGGCAGCACTTCCATGAAAGTGATTATCAGCGAGCTGGAAGTTGATTGGGTCACTGGGATTTGCGTTTAATAGTCCCACTAAAGGAAGATGTGAGGGCGAAGCCGAGGTTATCAATGTAAGGAGAAATTGACTGACTTCGAATCAGGAGGTCACAGGTTCAAACCCCACTGCAGTCAGCATGTCGTTGTGTCCCTGGGCAAGACACTTCACCCCAAATTGCTCCTGTGGGGATTGTCCACAGTACTGAATGTATGTAAATCGCTGTGGATAAAAGCGTCTAACAAATTACATGTAATGTAATATGCTGATATGATTAGATTTTTCAATTAAGCTTCAGTGATGCTAATGATATTAAAGGTATAGTTGCAATGTGTAGTAACTTATTTTATTTAAGGCAGTAAAAACATGTATTTGCTTCTTGACACAAGTTAAGGGTAAAATGTTGAAGGTAAAAAAGGAAATGCTTTTATTTTTGAAGTGCAAGTATGTGTCCTGCTTTTTGCTCCTTCCTGTTTTGATATAGAAATGAATACGAGTATCGAGTGCATTTCCGTCTTCCACCGTTCTTGTTGGAAACTGTTAAATGAATATAAAGTAAACACATTCAGTTTGGACAAGATTTGCTTGGTTCTTCATTCTAAGCTTCTATTACACAACACAATGATAGTTAGCCTACAACCTCCCTGAGTGAATCTCTACCTGCAGAAGTATATCCCATGGTACACTTTCACCTGGGAGAGTTAACAAGGTCGTTTCAGCATGAGTGCAAGATTAGAGAACAAGACGGAGCAGTAGGGTTCAGGATGTTGAGAAATTATTCATCACTCCTCGAAACCAATAGCTGACCTTGCTCACCTCCAAGCTAGGCAGCAGAGAGTGAGCACTGGCTCTAAAAGGAGTGATGAGCCTCAACCTATGCAGCTAAAGGTTTAACAAGTGTGTTTCATTCACATTTAAGACATGTTTGAATCTATTGTTTAAGCCCAGTTTAGTGAAAAGGATCTATTGACGGTTCAAACACTTAAGAGATTCCATATATTAGTCTAAATATAGTTTGTCATTTTCTACCATCCACATTATCTGATAGTTGAAGTCACCAATGAATAAAGCCTATGAATCGGTGCTAGAAAATATATAGAATTCTTAATATCTTTTAAAAATGGGCTTTAGAAACTCAGGATTTTACCAAACCGCAGTTTGATTATTGAGAAAGGTAAATAGAAAAAAAATGATGTACACCTTTAAAAGTCAACTTTTTGATTGAAAAGAATAATAATGACCAGTGTTATAAATCATGCCTAATTCAAAACAATGTATAAAAGCTAGAACAGCTTGCAAGCTTTAAATGAACCAGCATAGAAGGCTAATACAATAGCAGATGTTCAGTGTTGTGCCTAGGATTGTGCTGAATACATTATGGATGGATACCTTCAATTATAAAGAACAGTCCAACAGCATTGAATTCCCTTGACACTATCTACCGTTTTTGAGACAGAGGCTCGTCTCAACTAGACAAGGGATTGTCTGCACTTCCCGTTTTACTGTATAAATTGCATTTGTCCTACGTGTGTTGTGATATATGGATTTCAGAGGATTACAAGACGTACCTGGCATTTTACTAATCTGCAACCGTAACTTTCCTGGGTGGTTTAACAGGGTGAAGGGCTCTTACTGTGAAAGCTACAGTATGTATTAGACATTTGCCAATTTCCCTTTCCAAGCATCACATTGAGCCTGTCTTACATTCTAACCCAATAAAGGTAAAATCCTCTGCTTACATTTATAAAAGCTTTTCTGCGGAAGCCTTGCTTTGAGTCCCGTCCCCTTATTCTGGTTTTCTTCCATCATAATATGCTTCCTTTGTTGCTGATAGTATCACCTTGGAGGGTAAGATGGCAAGATGGCAAGAGATGGCAAGAGATGGCAAGAGATGGCAAGAGATGGCAAGAGATTGCCATCATATTGAATGGGAGATGTAGCAATGTGTTCATTTAATAATTTAATAAGAGCTCGAAACATTAATCGAATCCAGCTCAATAGATTAATTTGACCTGACTTGATTCATTCCATCACTCTCTTCTAATGCCATTTTTTATAGCTATAATCTGTGCTTTATTTAAACTCCAACCCCAGAGTCTGAACTTTTGCGACCCCATAATACCCCATGGACGTTTTACCATAGTTGTCTCTAGAGCTTACTGGAAATAGTGCTTATTAAAGCCCGCTTAAAATAGAAATGTTGAATGGATTTTTTTATTTTAGCTATATTTTTTTGTACAAATGTCAGTGTAATTTTAAGTGAAGTTGCTTACTTATCTAAGTTCTGATTTCACTTCAGCTATTTGAAGCTATAGCCAAGAGACTACTAGCATAGCAGCAAGACTTGACAACAGGAAACAACTAACCTAAAAAATGCATACTGGCACCTCTAAAGGCCGCTAAATATCAGACCAAGTTGTAGTTTTAAGGGTGATTAAGGTCAGGACTATTTCTTGGATAGACGTATTGACTTTCTGAAGTCTTTGGTTGTTTCGTGCTCCTTGAAGTTACTGCTACCTGCCAATAAATATTCCACCACATAACCTACAACCACAACTTATCTTTTAAACAAACAAAATAAATACACATTAGCAAGTGAGCTAATGAGGTGCGACAGGTGGATTTTCTTGCCCTGAATTGACTCCGGTGAGCTGTGTTCCCCTGCTTTGAGTTTTCACGCTAAGCTTAGCTCAACTACAGATGGCTGTCGCTTTGTCATCCTCAATATTCCCATCTAACTCTCTCCAAAAAAGCACTTTCGCTAATACTAAGCAAATGTTTTATCCAACTATTCCTAAGGTATATATCGGATATGGATAGCAAACGGGGGGGCTCACTCCTTAATTGTCCTAAACAAGATGTGTCACCTGCATTCCCCTGGCATTTACGCTGTCTGTCTCTTGAGGGCTCAATAATGATATTATGTGCTGGTTAAAAATAGAAACCCTCTCAAATCCATTCTATCTAAGCATGTAACAGTGTTTCAGATTTGTAACTGAAAAAAAAGCTTTGTGTTATTTTGTGTCTGCTAAAGTGACTTTTTAGAGTTGCCCATTGGGACAGCAAAACAAGATTCTAATACCCTAAAAGCAAAGAAAACAAGATTACATGTAAAGGGTGCATTATGTGAATTGAATAGAGTATCACTGTTCACTCAATCTACTTTGTATCCTTCTTGTTCTCCCCTCTCTTTCTCAGCTGTTCTCTCAATTGTGGGAAACCTGCTGATCCTCATCATGGCAGTCAAGAGGTCATCAAGGATGAAACCACCAGAGCTGCTGAGTGTGAATCTGGCCGTGACAGACCTGGGAGCAGCTGTTGCCATGTACCCTCTCTCTGTGGTGGCAGCCTGGAACCACCACTGGCTCGGGGGAGACGCTTTGTGTTTATACTACGCTCTGGCAGGGTTTTTCTTCGGTGTCGCCAGCATAATGAACCTGACTATCATGGCAATAGTGCGCTTCGTTGTGTCCCTCAATCTGTCACCCAGTGAGTAATTCATGGTTGGAAATACTGCTTGGAAATACCTAACCCCTGTAGACCTTATTTTATATCCTCCAGGAGACAAGAGCATTCTAGTTCAAGGCGTGACTTTTTGCACGGCGAGGGATTCTAGCACTACCTTTAAAGGATTTTCAGTCAATCTCCAAGGTTTTATTTTATATAGGAAAAACAACAAATCCACTTTGTATTCATGATGGCTATTGGCTGCTTCTACTTTACATTTGCGGTGATGCTATCTAAAAAGAATTCTACATTCAATTACTATTTCCTTTTTTTATAACATTTTGAAAATTGTTGGAGCATCCTGTCAGAGAAGTATGGTAACCATCTGTGTCTGTACTTGACTGAGTTTCTATCTAGTCAGGTTATCTTGTTAGCTTTGTTCCCAGACACTTGAAAATGTATCAGAACACACTGTATTGACAGCAGACCTTTTTTTAAACCGACAATCACGATGGCGGCTGTGATCCTGAGATAAACAGACTGGTTTGACAGCGCAAGAGATGTAGTAATTAACTGTGAAAAGGTTTAGACTCCCAAGAGGTACCAGGTGGGTGTAGTCAAGTGGAATAGTCCTATTCAATAGAAAAAAGAGCCAAATTGTAGAAGACATACTAAAAGCTTTTCAATAGATCAGAATCTGATGTTAGTTTGTAGTTTCCAGACCAAGTAATACAGGGACAAACAGCCAAGACAAGAACGGCCGGCAAAGATTTCCGAATATATGTACAACACAAATATATACATAATACATCTACATGCATTTGTTCATATCTGTAAATATAAAATAAAACATTCTGTCTTCATGTAAAAACACGTCCATTTTGCTGCAGGCTTAGAGTTGTTCGTAAATCAAGCAGACCTACTTTAGTAAGTCATCTGTTGCAAAAAATCATATATTTTCCAGTTTACCAATCCATGTAGGAGATCAATCAGAGAATACAATAGATCAGAATATGATTTTTTTATATATTCGATACAGAGAACTTTGAAAGGACGTAGTTTTTTATTTGACTCTCTAATGTCATATTGTAATCCGCTTAACAGAGCAATACAGAAACGGATCTCATCGCCCATGTTTTTGTTTATCCGTTTCTGAATTTCCATATATCTAAATGCAGATATGTACTTATGTGTTCCTGTGTCATATGGTCACAAATATGAGACTTAATTGCCTTAATCTTATTAAGACAATTAACTCTTGTCCTGTCTAAGTCTATGATTATTTTAGAATTGTGTGTTGTTGGTTTGTGTTCATGTTGCGTGAGACATTATATTCAGCAGAAGTCTCCACGTTTGCAGTCAACCAAAGTAGTTTGTAAGTATGCTAACGGACAGAAAAAACACGACCACATCGCACTGAGTTTGGCCTGGAGTACAGACCGTTTATTACATCTGCGCATGCTCATTAGCATCACCACGTTTCAGGCACATTCTGATGATGTCATACACATGAACTGAAACATGACTTCGTTCTTATACAAATATGCTCAACACTCCCACTCAAAGACATGTTGATAACTCTCTACCGTGGTACACAGAATCCAAATAAACAAAAACTTTCTAGCAGTGTTCAATTTTTACACCTGCAATTCACATTACTCTCCAAACAAATACCCTTTGAACTTGTCAAATGTAGCCTTTGTCAACGGCTTGGTTAGGACATGAGCTACCATATCTGCAGTAGGACAATATGTAATAGATATCTTCCCCTCAGCATGTGCAGATCGTACAAAATGGTATTTGATGTCTACATGCTTGCTTCTTTGTCTGGATACAGGGTTTTTTCCCTGGTTGTCCTCATATATCTTCACTGGTACATGTGGGCTATTACGGTCTACCCCTTTTAATAACTGTACAAGGTACATGCTCTCTTGAGTAGTAGCCGCTAATGCCATGTACTCGGCTTCACAGGTCGATATCGCCACTGTTGGCTGCTTCCTACTTTTCCAGGATATAACTGGACCATTTTCAGTTAAGCTGAAACAATATCCAGTTGTGCTTCTCCTCATTTTGATCGGCTGCCCAATCAGCATCACTGTATCCCTCAAGCTTTAGGCTTTCCTCACTTTTCTTGTAATGTAGCTCTTGGTCTATTGTACCCTTTAGATACCTCAACAGTTGTTTTGCTCAGATCTGGTCTAGTACATGTCATAATGTATATCAAGCTACCTACTATCTCTCTGTATCCTGTTGAATCGATAACTTCACCCTCAGTGTCAAAATGTAACTTTAGCTCACATGGAGTTGACCTTGGTTTGCACTCTGACATGCCAAACCTCACTAGCATCTTTGCTATGTGTCTCTTTTGGCTCATTTTGATCTCCCCCTCACTCTGTGTAAAGTCGACACCTAGGAAGTGTTTAAGTTCACCCAAATCTTTCATTTTAAACTTCCTCTTCAACATCTCTTTGACATCACTGAGTGAGCCGTTGTTATCGGCCGCTATAAATAGGTCATCTACCCATATCAACAGAATAACTCTTTCTTTCTCAGACTCTTTTCTGTATACACAATGATCAGCATCATTTTTGCACAAACCCATTCTCTGTAAGATGATCATGCAGTAACTTGTTCCAGTTTCGCCCGGATTGCTTTAAACCATACTATGACTTGTTAAGTTTGCACACTAAGTGTTCCCCTGTTTTGGATTTTGCCTTAAAACCTTTGGGCTGTTCCATATATAACTCTCAGTCTATTGGTGCATGGAGATAAGCTGTCTTCACATCCATTTGGTGTAGGATAAGATCCTCCTGTATAGCCACTTGCATCAATGTACAATGTAGAAGTCATATTTGCTGTCGGTGAAAAAGTTTCCTTGTAATCAATTCCCTACTTGACTATAGCCTTTAGCTACATATCTGGCTTTAAAAATCTCAGATCCATCATGGGCTTTCCTTTACTGCATATACCCAACGACCTCCCACTGCTTGCTTGCCCTTTGGCAGTGTGGTCAGACTGAAGGTCTCATTCTCTGTTAGAGTTTATCTCCTCTTTCATTGCATCAGCGCACATTTTTGATTTCTTAGAGCCTACAGCCTGCATGTATGTTTTGGGTACATCACAAGCAACTCTGTAGAAATAATCTACATTTTCACCTTCATCATTACAATCAGCCTTACACTGATACTCCATTAAATATTCTGGAGCGTTTCTTTGTCTAGTGGGATAGCATTGTGCACTCTCTCCCTGTTCTCTTTGAGTACCATCTGTCTGGATCTGACTAGCCTCAATATTCTCCTCACTATAGGACTGTACACCCACATTAGGCTCTCTCTGATTCTGGTTCACCATTTTTGTCCCTGCTGGTGTTGTGGGAATAGTTTCTCCATAAGTGTCAAAATCCATATTATAATTTGTCTGAGTCTGACTATCTACACTACTCTTTGTGATACATTTTACCAGCCTATGTTTCAGGACTTTCCCTGTCTAAGGAAAGAATACTTGGAATGCTGGGCTATATTTGTCGTATCCTACAAAAATACCCTTTGCACATCTAGAATCTAGCTTCTTCTTATCCTGCTTATACCCGTAGCATTCAGAGCCAAATATTTTCATGCTGGACAAGTTGGGTGTTTTGCCAGTAAAAACACGGTATGGTGTCTGCTCTAGACGCTTACAGTAACACCTGTTACGCATCTGTGCTGCTGTCTGTACAGCATATGTCCATAACTGCTTTGGGAGGTTACTCTCTAATAGCATGCATCGTGACATCTCAAATAAGGTCCTCCAACCTCTCTCGGCAGTACTGTTCTGGTGAGGTGAGTAGGGGGCACTTGTCTCGTGCCTTATCCCTTTCGTCCTAAGTAAAGTTTGAAACTCATGCCCAGTAAATTCAGTACCGTTGTCAGATCTTATGCACTTAATGTGTCCATATGGAGCAGTATCCGCAATGAATTTTTCAGTAGCTTTTGCTGTATCACTCTTTGCTTTGATAAAGTAGGGAAAAATCATCCCACTATAATCATCCGTAAATGCTATTGCATATCTGTACCCGTCTTTATCTGCTGGTTCTATTGGACCGCATAGGTCTGTATGTACTAGCTCTAGTACTGTCTTAGCGATCTGTCTGGCTGTTTCTGCTTTGAGTAAATGTTCCCTGCATACATATTTCACAGTTATGGTTAGACATGTCATGTTTCCCTTTGATCGACATACCTTTAACCACTTTCTCTAGTTTAGACACATCCTCAAAATTACAATGACCAAGTATTCTATGCCATGTCTGGATGTCATGACAACCATTACAAACATCATCAGTATTTTCATCCTCTACTGTGCTAAGGTAATATAGCCTATCATACACATCCATTTTAAACTTGGTACCATTTTGATGAATCAGCCAATCATCACCGTCCTTGAAGCGGACCTCAGCTCCGCTGTCTGTCGCTACTTTCACGGAGAAAATGCAGTAGGGCCTGGCTCATTGTGTGGCATTTGCAGGCAGTGGCAAGTACTTCCGGCATCTGCCACAGAGGCCACTACTCCGTGGCATCTGTGGCAAGTACTTCCGGCATATGCCACAGATGCCACAACTTGCCGAGGCATCTGCCGCTGCTGAACGGGAGTTGCCACAAGATGCCAGAGTAAGGCCCTTTCTCATTTCTCTAACTCCCCTCCTCGACTCCTATCCTCGACTCCTATCCTCGAGACTTAGTCCCGCCCACAGGAGATGCGAGCGGAGGAGCCGAGGAGGGGAGCCGAGGAGAGAGGAGGGGAAGCAGCAGGCAGTTAGAGAAATGAGAACTCCTCTCCTCTGAGCGGTCATTTTAAAGAGACGTCCATTAATGATGACAGGAGGCACAGCAGCCTCTGTCTGATGGACAGATGTGTTCATGACGACTTATATTTATTACTTTTAATTCATTGACAGTGCGGTATAATGATACAATAACAGGCTACAGATGCGGACATACACACACACATATATATGTATATATTTATATAAATATATACAATTTCAGAATCAAACAGAGCACTCTCAT